TGGGTGATAACGTTGATAATAGGTAGTAGATAGGAGGCGGTATCGGTATTGGTAACGGTATCGGGGAAGGAAGGGTGGCGGGGCAACGGTATTTGGTGACGGGGCAATTGGGGAAAGGGTAAGGGTAAAAGTAGCGAGGAATAGGGTGGGTAGGGGAAGAAGGGAAGGAGGGGTGTCAAGACTAATAAAGCACAGTAGGAACAGGATGAGGAATGGCAAAAGGAAATGCAAATGCGAGTCCAGCGAGATGAATGAGAATAGCTACACACCGCGCAAAATGGCGGGACAGGAAAAGATAATGCAAGGAACCCAGAGGAGGAAGGAAGTCAGAGCATACAGAAAGAATTGAGTCCAGGGAGGAAGAGCAGCGAAGCGATAGCGAGAGAAAAGAGAGGAAGGAAGAGAGTGGAAGAGGTGACCACCTGGCGGTCAACCAATTAATCTCGATCCCGGTCCCCATGGTTCTGCACCGTATCCTCTCCGTCACTCAGCGTCTCGACTTTCACGCCCCTCGAGCTCGCCACGCTCCGTATATCCCTCCCCTCTTCCGCCAACTCACGGTTGAGCATATCTTCCTTAGTCTCGGGGTTCTCCGGGCTCTCACCTTCCTCCACTGGACGCCCAGCAAAATCAGGTTTTCGCAGCATCTTACGGAAGGCATCCGCCATGATCGCTGCATCTGCGCCGCTGAAAGGACCAGAATCGCCTGCTGAGCCCGCACGTGAAATGGTGGAAGCCCCGTCATGCATGACCACGCTTGGGGCGTCGCGCGGGCCAACGCCCGAGGTCCCTGCCATGGACTCAGAGTGCTGGTGGTGGCTCTGGTGCTGGGCGGCAATAGGCAAAATTGCGCCCCCGCCGAGAAGTGGGGACTGCTGCTGCGCCGCATTGGCCATCATAGGTGAATTGGACCCCATGGAGTTGCGGTTCGAGTCCAAGTCTGAGTTGCGTCGCCGAATGCGGCGGATGATGAGGAAGATGAGGATTCCTGTGGCACAAATGGCGAAGAAGCCGAGGACGACGATGACGGCGATTGCCCAGTGCGGGAAGCCGGAATCAGAGGACGCGGCTTGGACGGAGCCGGAGCCTGAGCCTGAGGTGGAGGCCGGGTTGGCCCCGCTCGAGTGAGTAGCGGCGACGCTGGCGAGGGAGGAGAGAGAGGCAAGGACGGCTGAGGTGGCGGCTGCTTCTGAAGAGGCGGAAGAGCGGGAGGCGATGATTGATGATGCGAATGTTGTCTCTGAAGGGAAAAATATTAGCTTTTCACACATGGAAGGAAGACAGGTGGGCACTCACGGACTGCAGTGAATATTGGCTGAGCTATCGCATTGCCATTGTCCACGGGCACGTCGTTCCTTGTTATCACCCAGAAAAATGGGAATGAGACGTTCTTTCCATTCCAGTTTGCACCATCTGTCCCCCACCATTCGTCGTTTACTTGGGCGGTGACTATTCCTGCCTGGTTTGTTGGGTTCGGCTGGTCGAGGAAGGAGAGAACCTGCCGCCGAGAATCTGCACGGAATAGGTATATATTGACAAGGTTAGTCTGTGTGATTTCAGGTCTCCGAGAGTTCCCTGCGGAAAATGGTCAGCGGTTGAAAGAATTATAGAGATGGGTAGGCACGTACAGACAAAGGCTGCCCAGTCATCCTGTGGGATGACGGTGTCGGCGGTTGGGAAACATGAGAATACATCGTTGCCTGAGTTGACCTGGCAGTCGTGGAGAGCTTGTTCTGCGAACGCGAGAAGCGGGATTAGCTAGGTGATATGGGTGAGATGGAAATGAATGGGACGCACGAATCTCAGCCTGGTCAGCTGTTGCCCGTGAAGCAAGCCCGGACGTGCTCGCGTCGGCGTGAAGGGGTATAATTTCATGTATCCGCCTTCGTTTTGGAGAGCGTCTGCGTACGGAGGAAGAATCTACAGACGACGTGGACGAGGAGGGGACTGGGGCAGGGGTTGCTGCTGGCCACGGGTGGTTTTGTGGACGTGAAGGAGACATGATTTAGAGGAGAGATAGGGTAGAGTAGATGAAGAGATGAAGAGGAGACGTCTAGAGGAAGAAAGGGTGCTGCCGCGAAGAGAGAGATACGGGGGCGGGTGAGAAGTTGCTAGGTGTCGAGTGGGGTGGGTAGAGAAGGGCCAATCTCATGCTCCTGGGGTGGGGAGGGTGGTGAGGAGTGGCCGGTGAGCAGCAAGTGCGACGGCGAGGACGACGACGAGGACTGCTTTGAAGACGGAAAGCACGACGAGCAAGTGCAGGACCGAACAGGCAAAAAGATCAACTCCCTCTCACAACCACTTCCCAGCCGCTCCACATTTCACACACAAATCAATGCCAAATCAATGATGACAGACCCCGGGAACCACTGCCGCATCTCTTTCCCGCGCTTTTGTCCCGGAACTGACCCCGTTTAGGATCACTCCTTGTCAACTTCCTGTCCTTGGATCCATTTACGTCCCAACAGGCATTCACGTCGAATAACCTCGGCCAAACCCCCGTCTTCCATGCAACACTCGTGCCAGCGGACAGCCTACACTAGGATATTCTTCTGCCTTTCGAGCGTCTGAGACTATCATCGCTGCACGCTCGTCGCTGTACTCGAACTCTTCCGCACCGGTGATGGATGGCCGCTATTGCTCATGTGACCCGCGTAAACGCGTCCTTCTCTCGCGCGAGGTGTCCGGGGACGCGTTCTCAATCCACGCCGAGGTTGCATGCATGTCATTTTTCGTGTAACTGTGTTGTGCGCCCCGCCAGCTGCTGATTTCCACTGTCGACGTCAGTAAAACGTAGTGCAAGTAGCACCCATTGTCAAGGGTTCCAGCTTGTTTCCGCTGATCTACTCAATACAGAAAGTCATCCTTTCTTCTTCCATGTCCTTTGTCTTTCGCTTGTCGTGCAGGAACACGCAAGAATAATAACAATAATTCTACTCTCGGAAATATGCTTCTATTGACATCTGCACGCAAGCCTCGAGACGCCCGACGCCATGCCTCGTCCTTACCAGCTGTCTGTTCCCGCGTGGATCTAGCTCGCTCGCTCCTTGCCCAGCGCGTCATTGCTCGTAGCCTCGTGCTCCCAGTCGATTCCCGTTATCGCTCTCGGCGCTATTTACAATCAGGCACCCGTCCTAACGGCTTTAATTGCCCGTCACGGCTTTTCATAAACGATCAAGTCTAGTCAAGTCCCCGGTAAACCTTGAGTGATGAGTGCATGAACCTTAGCAAGTGCTGCAACATTATCTCGTCATGGTATTTTTTTTCCATTATGGTGCTTTCCCCATTCTGCATTCTAGACGACCTCTGCTCCCATGCAGAAAACGAAACACATCAACTTGTTACTATGCAATTGATTCCGGATACCCTACTGCTACAACAAATTTGGGGTTCAGGAATCAGCGCGGGTACACAAGGAACTGCGTGATACATTTAGAGGTGCAAACGTACTTATTTTCGTTCTTTTACACCCTCAAGTTTATTCCTGATCGTGCGTGCTCTATCCGTGATGCTATTGATGAAAGCAACTCGTTCCAGATTATACCCCGTCTTCATCGACATCTTTGATATCCAAGATTCTGTTATTTGTTTGTCCCTTTCAGCAGGACGTGAATAAATGATACGCGCACATGCCCGATAGATGGATGGACCAGTCTCGCGTGTTAACTGTGTATTGGAATCTTCGAATGTAGAAAGGCGTCTGCCCATCCCAGCCTCTTACATACTGCTCTCTATTGGTATTTGGCGCGGTAATAATAAGGAACAACACCTGATCGATCGGTATTACGGCGCGTCATGTCCATGTTTAACGTCGAGCGCTGGAGGCAAGCGGTGACATAGGAGATCACGGCGATGTGTACATTGATCATAGGTGATTGACTGTTAGGGAAACCCGCATGGGTGTACATATATCATAGTGGGAACACTGAAATAAATCCAAATTAGACCTTATTTTCGAAATTTACTTAAGAGCGGACACATTGTAGATGGATTTATTTAATGGCGAAAGAGGGTGGCACATGGGTTGAGCAAAATCAAAGTACGAAGTACTTACTACTGCCTGCAAGCGCCTTATATCCGCGTTTTACCCAAATACAATGAAAAAATGATGCTTCTGCTCTAGGCCCTGTCCACGATCCAGCAGCTGATTAAAACTTTCTGGATTTACTTATAAACACGAGAAGGGGCGTGCATGATGCGCAGCCGACCTGAGGCGTATATTACTGAATCAGGGATGGAGGCTATTATATTATTAACTCGGCGCTCAGCGTCGATATAAATTTGCAGAAAGTATGCTACTTATAAACTTCGAGGAGTAAGAAAGGACTCCGGAGAAGGGAAGGGAAGGATGAGAAGACGGAAGGAGGTCCGATGACTGCGCAAATGTTCAGCCAATAGCGTTGAGATTATATTTATTAAAGTAAAAGCTAGAAGACTGCTGGTGGATTGGGGGTGGGGCATGTGGGCATGGAGGAAGGATGGCTGCGGTGGAGAAGTTCGGGGACGGGTTCTGGGAATCTTAATCAGGGATGAGTAAGAGAGGGCAGGGTAAGGTAAAAATTAGACATAGGATGGGATGGGACGGTTTGGGCCAAAAAAAAAAATAGAAGAGGAAAGGGTTTGCTAAGAAAAATAAATGAATAGGAAGAGGAGTTACGAGGGGAGCTAGAAGCAACGAAGAAAATCCGTGCCTAAGAGTCATGATGCACGATGGATTGAATGAGGGAAGGAGAGCGGTAATGAGACGGGCTGTAGGCTAGAAGTCTGGTTGTATTGAATTTCGTAAATTGTGAAAGAGTGTTTATAGGTAAAGGAAAGATGAGAACCGGGCATAATGGATTAAGAGAGCTTCGACTCAGGCAAGTCCTATTTTAGAAATATGTATCAGAAATAGAACTGAATGGTATTTAATACTTCTTTCATGTGTTTAGAGCTGGCATCCGACAAAAATCCATGCTGGAGGGTGAATAAACAAAACAAGATGAACACACATTCTCCAACTGTCCCAGAGAGACTTGAACTCTCGATCTTCCGATGACATATTCTGTAGAGCGAGGACTCATAACAGTCGGACGCCGTAACCAACTAAGCCATGGGACATGCATGGTGCAAGTGCCATTCAGCGTCCAAGAACTTTCTTTGCATGCTTCAAATATGTACTCTGAGTTGATGATGGATTCAACGAGACCTCAGAGTAACAGTAGGTGAAGAAGCTTTCGGAGTCTATACCATCAGACGATCATTTTTTACACTGCAGTAAGCGAGCCAGGGGGCATTTCATGAAACGATGACCAATTGCAGGATTCGAGGGTAATTAGGTTGCTGTAGAATTGCTTGCTCGAACTCGAAGCGCTTTATTCCTTCGTCCGATAGTTTAGACATATCCGAAATAGACTTGGTTTAGCATTAGATTCTTTTTGCGCATTCAGAGTCCGCAACCGCTGAAATTTGCGCTAGGAAGATAAATAAATAAAATGAGATGCACATAGTCACTTCTTACTGTCCCAGAGAGACTTGAACTCTCGATCTTCCGATGTCATGTCCGCGTCTCGGCCGTTAATAACAGTCTGACGCCGTAACCAACTAAGCCATGGGACATACAGTAGATTATCTCATAATGCATAACACACTAGTGCATAAATCTCATATTGCATCAAGGTTGAGCTGGAACCATGGTGGGACGCAGGGAAATCTTGTATAAATTGCATAACGCATAATGCATCATCCTTGGAGGTCAGTTATGCATTATTAGATTAAAGATTTTAGTTGTTGTCAGGCTCAAATTTGCTCAGTAATGCACCATTTTAATCGAGTGTTCAGTCATGCATAGCACTAGCTTGTGAAATGAACACTTCCAGAAAATGACATGCATTACAAGCCTCGAAAATAGTCAATTTGAGCCATTTTTAGGTATTTCCCATCAATAACATCTAAAAAAGGGAATTTTGACCCTAGTAAACACCATATTGCATAAATGCCATAATGCATGGCCTGGGAGGTGGTTCCACCGTTATGCATTATGAGATAATCTACTGTACATGTAAAAGTGCCATTCAGCGTCCAACGACTGTTTTTTGCGTTATTAGTAGTTGGAGAGCTTTTGGCGTCTGTTAATATCATCGGACAATCATTTATTCCAGTGCAGTGAGCAAACCGGAGGCATTTCATAAAACGATGGCCAGCTGCAGGATTCGAGGAGAATTGCCTGATGGAACTGGAAGCATTTTTGAGCGCTTGTCTACTTTTTGGTGAGTGTTAAAGTTACAAAAGTGGAGTCGGAGTTGGAAGAAGGCGATTCCGGTTCAACAGTTGAGCCTGAATAGCGTATGTATTAGTTAGAGAACGCTTGTGTTCGGAGGAACCATAACGTCGATTTATAACATCGAAGGTTTGAGTAGCTCCAGTGTAGCTCCGAGTTCTTTCGAGCTAGAAGACGCGCAATAGTGAACATGCGTTTCATTCAACGATTTCAGGTGGGATATGTTGTGCTGTGTAAGGTTATTTGAGGAAGTTTGGGAGTTTGAGGTCGTTGGTGCGCGATATTAGGAGGGTGAAGGTGGTGCTGGAGGACCATCTGGAGTGTAGGAGTTTGAGTTTGATATTGCTCAGATCGACTCAGAAGAAGCGGTGACGTCGCGTCTACTAGATAACTCGAGGACGGTCGTATTTTTCAAGAGATTGGCGCATCTACTGTATGTGTGTATGAAAGCGATATAGCGCTGTCTGGCGTGAAATTCACAAATCTATCACACCTTTCATACGCCAGTAATCGAGCCGATGCCAAACTCTCCGACGTCCGTTGGAGAGTGAATACGGGAGGAAAAAGAAGTTTATCCGTTGTTGCAAACAATAGTTGTATGAGTATAGAGAAAAAATAATCTATGATCATTGTCGCCATTATCGGCGCATCAGCTCTCGTTATCTGGGATGATGGCCACCATCAGCTAGTGGTCGTGGAGGTTGAATGGTCCTACGGGTTCTTGTAATCGCCGCCAGCATAGATAGTCTGGGGGCTTGGAGTTGATGCTAATCACGGCGATCAGAACGGGTGACGAGACGGGGTTGGAGATCAGAGTATTCTTCAGCACCCCGGGATGGGTTGAGCTCAACCGTATGAAGCGCGTTCTTGTGTGAGGGCGGTGCACACAGTGGTGTTTCTCCCTCCAATTCCCAACTCCAAGTCGACCACCAAAGGCCCGAATCGGATATGAGTGCCAGCTCCACAACCAAGCTTCACAAGTTGAACCCGAGAGTATTTATCTCTGGACCGGAGGAGATACATGGCAGCACGAACGCTGAGTCGAATACTTCGCCATCGTAAGTGTTAATGAAAACGTGTATATATATACATAGTTTATAATCACTTATGGCCTCTAGCGTGGTTATCATCTTCGGTTGGCGTGAACGGTATTGAATCTTGGTCAGAGGCATCCTTGAGCTGACCGTGTATTTTAGATGCGGCTCAACTTAAACATGTTCGGAAGTATGCCGATGAATTTCGGGCTACGTTTCCAACGTCTACTATTGTTGTTGTCATGCTTCACACTGGCTTCTACTGGAGCACACAGAAAGTGAACGTAAGTACGTTCTTCAGAGTCCAGGTTGAGACACTGTTAGCTCATTTTCACTCTATCAGCAAACTTTCCTTGCTCCAGTTGCGGATATCCTTCGGCGAGAACAGGAGAATGGTAATATTTCAAGGGGCGTTCTCTTGCACGTGATGTCGAATGGTCAGTCAAGACCAATTACCAGTTTAAATGGTATTCTAGATATTAACTCACGCCGATTATTCAGGAGGAGGATTCCAATTCATGACGTTACGGAAGATGCTCTTGAACTCTGCATCAAAATTAGCGACTCCTGCTCAGAACACCATACCTACCGCACTAGTACTTGATTCTACCCCTGGCGACGATGGCTTACAATCAGCCATTCAGAGCACCAAACCAAGGAACCCTCTGCTTCACATAATTGTGGTCCCGGCGGTCACTCTTCTGTACGGCTTGTTTTATACGATTAACAGCATCGTCGGGAATCGTCCCATTTTGGAGCAGCTTCGCTCTTCTTATATTGAGATTGACCCATTACCATCCATCACCACCCCGGCTGATCCTAAAACAACTCACCGTCTCTACATCTACTCAAAAGCGGACACAGTAACGCTGGAAAAAAACGTGGAGAGAGCAATAGATGACGCCATCTCGTTAGGCCTTGATGTTGCTGTGGAGAAGTACGACGCCAGCCTTCACGTTTCACATGCACGTGAAGATCCTGAGAGGTACTGGAAGTCAATACGCGACCTCTGGTCAAGAGCGATAGAAGGGGCGGAGAAACGTCGATCCCGAGAGTATCGTCTGTAATGTGGTTTTTGTAAATTAAGTACTATCATGTATAAACCTAGATTATAACAAATAGCAACGTTAATTTCGATTATTAACAAATTCACTACATACGTTACGCAATAAAGTATCTTAAAGAGGAGTTGAATGGTAACGTGCTGAATGATATAATTTCAGCACTCTATTCGCATATGGAAATGAGAGTTGGTTATTCCAACTAATGTCCATGTAATTACTTGGGGTAGTGGGCAGTTGCAAGCACGAGAGTATGGGTCTTTTTTTCTCTTATATTTAGCTACCATGCATTGAAATGTACCACGGCAGCTTCAATCGCGCTCGCAAAGAATCCGAAGGTCTGTCTTAATTATCATTACCTAATGTACCAACAAGAAGACTAGGCGCCGGAGGGTTGCTTATATCCCGACCGACGTGTAGGAAAGGATATGCAGGCGGTGGGAGCCCGGAGTAGACGGTATCATTCTGGGATCTGTGCACGGACGAGGGATCACCGTAAGACGACTTAGCTGTGGCAGTAAAATTTAGCTGTAAGGTTCTTTATAGTAGATAGTTTTTTGGTGCCCTGTGTCCGTGTCGTTGTGAATCACTGGTGATACCTTTACAGCATTTGCAAATATTGATTTGAGAATTGAAATGTGTGGTGTCAGAAGCATGACACTAGTAGATGTAACGCGAGGGCGACAGCTGGGGAAGGTTCCGACACACAGAGGAACTCGAATTCATTTAAGTTTACGGCTACTTACGGAGGGCCTTCAGTACCTACTATGAGAGTAGCTTAGAAAATCACAAGTAAGACATAAAGTCATGAGAAGTGAGCAAAAATCTAGCCAAGTAGTAAGAAAAAGGAAGGGAGGGGACGCGCAAGCTGCCAGGGTACGGGAAACAATTTTTGAACAGAGGTCGGTGTTGAAGTGACCTAAGCAATCTCGAATATCAGGAAACTGCGTTGTAAACGCGCGATTATTTTCCTAGTTTACTACATGTTTAAATACATAATTTGAGCGCTTTTTATTTACTTTGAAACAGGTCCATAGCATAAGGTACATACTTGTGGCATAGATTTAATACTAATTAGGAATCATGGAATTTATCGATTGAATTACAATTTATATTCCAACAGTCGGGATATAAGAAATAGGAATATCGGGAGTTGGCACACAGTGCCAAGATTTCGGGATGGGAGAGTTACGTCCGGAGCGCTACCAGCCCGGGCGTGAACGAAAGAATAACTTGCTATAGCATGTTTCTTCTGCTCTCGTTACGACTTTTAAGTCAACAGAATTAATCGATTTGGGGTGGGGAGGAGTTATTGGACACATTACGAGCAACGTTCTGTTAAAAATTAAACGAGAGAATGGAGGGTAGTGCAAAGGGTGATCAAAAGGTATGATCATTGCGGTAGTATATTACTACACCAATTGTCTCAATAATTATGACACCACGCTTTTCTTCATTCCACACCAAATCTAACAAACATTACTTCAACTACCACCGCCTTACGCCTACATGTTAGAACGCAGTCCTCAGGAGTCACTTGAGGATATTTCGGAGATGAGGAGGCGTTGAATGATCTCGAAGCAGAACTGGATGGGCTTGAGGAAACAGAGGAGATGGTGGTCATTATGAAGCATTTATCAGCGCTAAAGGAAATCCTCAGCAGTGGCATAAAAAAAGTATTCCCATATCTTACTCTTATTTGCCGTTACTGATGATAAATCAGAAAGTTGACTTCTCGATGGTTACTCACGATGACCTCGACAAGCTTGGTGTGAAGAGGAAGCTTTTTATCATCTTAGATGAGGAAGTAGTTAAACTAGTAGCAAAGCCATTGCCGGAGAGAGAAGATGCCATCATTACTGACCTCTATGCTCGAGTGAACAAAATCTATGAATGCGTTAACATGGATGTAAGTTTATTTGCTGCTCGTGGCACTACTCAAGACCACTGAACACTTTCTCCCAGAATGAAAGCAGGTTCACGTATGATTCTTGATGCTGTATTATTGGCATTATCAGATATGGTCTCAACTGGGCCAAGTGCTGTGGCCATACTTCCTGACGCAAGAATTGGATCAAATGATGGGATCCCAGTCATCAACCCTCCAACGGGGTTTGAGTTGCATTTGAGTGGCAATACTGACTATGCGGTTATCAAGTATGATGTTGAAAATGACAACAAGGGTAAGTCATTGTGACCCACACTTACTTTGTGAACTGAGCGCTGTCTTTCAGCATTCTTGCT